CTTAATCAAGTAACTTCACGTTGACTAATTTTCCGTTATCTCAAGTCTTCGGCACATTTTTTTGGATTTACTTCCATTCTTTATACGTATATACAATCTCTACCACAACCTACATCATATCCGGATTAAACCGTTCCAGCACTGCCACCGCCCGTCACAGAGCTTAGGGGTACTTGGACTCTTGTTGATCTTTCTGCTACATGCTATGACGACCGCTATGCAAGGCTTGCAAAACCACGCAAGGACACTGCTTGTTTCTGGGCGTCAAGGTGAATGTGATCGGCGATCCTAGCTACAAGACACGATGGTCTATGTAGCGGCAGATTCGCTAATCTGCTAGCGGATAGCTTGCTACCTTCCGACTCCAAGTCTCTCCTGTGGGCATCACTGCAGGTCAGGGCAACTAAAAGACAAAATCATGAAGGAAGCTGCGTAATAGTGTGACAAAGTCATTGGAAATCAGTCTGCGTCTTGGAGTATCAGGACAGAGCCCACGCAGGTCTATGCAAGTGGCAGTGGCATATCGTAGCAACAAGGGTATTTTGCTGTTCTGCAGAATGAAGCAACGACATTGTTCTCTTCTATCTTTATGTAGTGTGTGCGCATGACCGCTACATTCCTTTAGGCTTTTCTGGATACAAGTTACTCCCCTCAATTGCTGTCTTACACCTTGCCGACGGCAACAAATATGGCATTCTAATATTACTGGTTCCAGACCCTATTCCAAGAATGTAACATATGCAGCGATACGTATACAAGCCTTGGGTTAATACAGAAAATCAATGGAGACTGCAAGGAACGGCTTTGCGTGAGTTCTCTATGGCTGTCTTTCCAAGGGGTGGCTGATTCAAAACCTGCCAAATACACCAAATGACGAGGAATCCTCCTGTTCCGTAATTAGCTGTACGCCGTGATTTCATTTACCGCTTTGTTGGTGAGCTCGCCTTGCCGTCACGAAGGGTAATAGAGCTTTCGCCTGTGCATACTCTTGGAATTGACAAAATGTGTCTCAGCCATTTACAGAAGCAGGTTGAAACTAGCGCATTTGCTGTAATGTAAAGGACGCCAATTGAGCAGGCCTGAATTAGTCGGTTACTATACAATATTTGCTTATTACTCCTATTTTTATGGGGCTTGCAACGATCGATACCTCTCACAATGACGGCCATGAACTAAATTTGCCTCGCCCTCGTGTGTTGTGGATTGGTGCAGCAAAGTGACCCGTTACCACAATACATGCAATGCGTCCATAATAATGACCGATTAAACTTCTTCGAAGGGGTTCTGATCATCGGTCCCACGTAGCCGGATTAGCTTGGCTTGATCGATCCGATCTCCGGGAAAAGCTTCCCTGTGACATAGATTGAAAAGACCGATCATTGCCTGGTGTATAGATTCGGGGACCTGCATATTCAAGGATGACAGTGGGCACAAGGTCTGGGCCAATGTGGGTCTTAAGTAGCACGCTTCACGCTCAGGGAATTTGGGTTCATAGTGCATATCACACTCTGTTATCGGTACATTTGACGATGACAGATATAAAAAGCTAACACCCAAATTCCAAGTGTGCACCGCTGGCGAATCCAGCACGTGAGTCCCTCATCACAAGCCCCTTCCCTCCCTTCCCCCTTGCTTCTACCTTCACGCGTTGCGGTCAGGCCACATGGCAGTGACCTAGATCTGCTTTTGGGGTATCTCTAGTATTTTAGTTCCAAAGTGTACTTCTTGGATACCTGATGATTTATCTATCCTGTTAAAATCAGACTCTCAGGGTTGAGACTCCTTCCCTGAAAAGGCCCATCAGTAGAGCTCATGATCTCACCAAAGGCTATTAAGGTTATCGCGCCGAACATATTTCCTTGGTCTCTCCTGTACCCCAAATGTAGAACACTGCAAGGAGGCGAGGGAGTAATACTCAGCCTTCAGCAGGTTCGCCTTGGTCCATGAGGGAAATCTAGACCTAGGCCTCATGTACCAGTGGGATGGATCATGTACCGAGTGGGGCCACCCGACCTCTCCATTAGATCATTTTTCTTGGAGTTTAGCTCAGCCCCCACGCTCCACCAATTGACATTCTGGTCAAATGCTGCGCATTTCATTCTTCGGCACATTATGGAACATTATACATAGAAGCGGCAATTCCCGCTACCAATGTTACACCGCTCAAACTGCCCGCAACGCTCTCTGCAGGTCTGCTGGAAATGTTCTGAGACATACCGCTGGTTCGAGGACGCAACAAGTCCAAGTACCTCTTGCACATAACGCATACGCATTGACAATGTAGAAAAAGGCATACTTCTATATAATAACGCCACAAAAGCTAGCCCAGATGATTTCCCTGTTTTCGACATCTTACTGAGGTGTCAACTGGCTTTGCGCAATTAGCCATTCCAATCCGGCCCTGAATTGCCTCAGCTCCGACCCACTTCTCGGGATATCATGTCCGGCAGAATGGATAATCGTCTTGCGACAGTTGGGGTTGCAGAATTCCTCTACTAGCAAGGCGCAGTCAGATAACCCAGGGAGGTCATTATGACCCCGTAGATGCAAGGTAGGGATCGAGAGGCGGCCCGCAAAATGATCCGGGTGCAAGGCACAGGGAATTTCTTCGATAGACCGGTCCAGAAAGAAGCGAACTGGCTCGCGAGTAATCGACCGGCCTGCCTTGATCACCTTGACAAATTCTTCAATTGGTGCCTTGATGGATGTGGGCAATTGTGCAAGCTGATCATCCTGCCCAGAACGGATCCGCTGCTGATCCTGCCGAGACAGACCTCCCATTAAGGACTGGCAGTAGTTAGGGTCCGAGGAGCAGGGAATTGTTGTCGAGCAGAATATGGCAAACCGAAATGGGAGTGGTTCTTCGGGGTGGCTGGCAGTCTGTTCCAGGAGGAAGGAGGCAATGATTGAGGCTCCCTGACTGAATCCTAGGATACCGTCAAAGGGACCCTCATCCTCAATCGCTTCGGTGATTAAGGTGTGAGCCTCCTCGATGGATGGTGCGTCAAATGTGCGTGACCAGCAGTAATATGGGGGAGTAAAGTTGGTTTCGATTCCTTCGAGGGGGTCATCGAAAAGCGGTTAGCTCTGTCGTTCTCACTCTTGAGCGGACCATGTAGAAAGGATTGCCAAACCAGGTGCGGGCGGGCATTCGAGCTCGCCGGAGAGCATATGAAACTCCCAACTGGGATCTGCCGAATGGAGGAGACCCGACAGTTGATATTGAAGGGCATCGGCACTCGTACCATAGCCGTGTAGACAGAGAATACGCATGCTGAATGAATCTGGCAAGCGAAAATTGCGGTTTCCGAGACTCGCTGAAAGCGAAATACTACTATTGAAGTCATTTATATGCCCGAGATCGTGATTACCAAAGCAGTGGTGTCATGGTTCGCATTTACTAGACAGTAAAGTATTCTTGCCCCTTATCCAGTGCTGTAAGGGCTATATCCGTAGTAAACTAAAGCCATCTGGGGAGTCATGGGAAGACAGATCGCGCTTTGACCGGGTTTCATTTTTCGATGCTTTCATGTTCCAAAACACAGGGGCCAAAAAAAAAAAAAGCTGGCGCTTCCATGAGGGCCACGAGAATCGTTGAAAATTAAACTATACCGTGCACCCTTGACAAGGTATTCCAAAGGAATCCAAGCATTATCTCTAAGCATGTTTCAATTTGTCCCCAGACGTGTCCAAGCACAAGCAAGCACAGATCGACGCATTCCAGGGATCTCCGTCGTGATGTTGGAAGGCCCGGTCTACCTGTTGAACTGGTAGAGCCGACATGCTCAAACGTTCTTCGAAATAGCTTGTAAAGATGCAACAGATAAAGTACGTGTCTTCAAAGTACTCCTCTTCGCATTTGATTTACTGTATGTAACTAACAACCCGCCAGGGCTATTGTGCGGATAAGATTCGGGAGGCTCTACCGCCACACCTACCAGCCTCCGTTCAAGCCATACTCTCCGCCTACCTTAGTAGGATTAGCTTGTCGTTTACACCTTGCAAAATCCCACCGCCTGCTATTTGGTCGGATTGGCTGCCTGGGGCGAAATATATTACCTAAGGCTGTATATTAACAATTGAGGAAGTAGTTGAAGGCCTCAAAGAGGAACATACAGTATTAGAAATAGACTATTAAGCATTCATGTAGTAGGAATAAGCCTTACTACATGCTTGGGACAGGTTGTTGTGACGTCACTACTTGCGAATAATACTCCCATTTGAGGCGTTCCACGAAGACTCTTTTAATATATATCGGAACACTAACCGCTAGACCCAAAACAATATATCGCGTCTACTAGCCAGACCAGTGACAGAGAGATTATTATTCTAATATAGCCTCCTCAAACCAGAGCTATCATAGCTCTGTGCTTCTGGTTAGGAAACCCCTCAAACTAGATAGACTATCTAAAAAATACAATCAGGTTGACCACACCTGGACTTAAATCTAAAGTCTCCAGATCTGGTTAGATATTATATATTAGTAAAATTTGACTAGGCTTATAACCTGTCGGAACACTAACCACCAGACTAAAAACGATATATCGCGTCTAGTCAAACCAGCGACGGAGAGATTACTGTCCCAACAATATATAGTATCGACGTACTCACTGTTAGACCAAAAACATTATATCGCCTCTATCCAGCCAGGCAACGAAGGGTTTTGTTCACCGACATATAACACAGATAACACTGAGTAGGTGAGAGAATAGTTACATTACAGTAAAAGAACTCAGATGAAGCTTACTTTTACTCCTGCCAGAAGTATGCCACATCTGGGTATAGTAAAGAGAGTATGTGTATGTGTGCACCATGCAACTTTAGTTAATATTGGTGCCAATCCTATTTCATAACGTAATGGATAATAGATACTTTGATGATAGATACAATATCTGACAATATGGCATATCCTGCGAGAACATTCCGGGGTTTCTTCCGTTTCATGGATTCTCTAACATGATGCGTAACGTAAAGGGAGTGAATCCGTGCCACGAAACGGATCAGTGAGTAGTGGAGACATTGAGTGTAGTCCCCACTGTAATTCCAGGGGATTGGCTTTGGCTGGCTCGTGACTCGTGCTGCTGAATGGGGCTATTGATATGAACAGTGGCGTGCCCGCCAGCTGATGCTTCAGGCCACCGGGGTACAGTCCCAGTAAGTTCAACCTGGGAGTCACTGAATGCTTGGAACTTACTTGCACTGTCAATGGCAAATCTAAGACCGTTTTTATTGCGTGTGCTGGAATTGGAGTAGGTGCTGCTTTGGCTGCCGACAGTGAAGACGGTCCGGAAGCTGTGAATTATTGATTTCAGGGACGTTGCCCCAACGAAGAGGGCGCCGTAACATGGAAGACAGGCCGCAATGATGGAACAATTGGGCTCTATGAGCATGAAAATAATCATCTTGGACTGGAGGCCTGTCGTCCATATTACTACACAGCTCTCGACAAGGACCTGGGAAAAGATTTTATGGTACTTACGAACCAGGGCATGATCAACGGCCACTTTAGACAATGACGCGTGGAGCAAGATGAGTCGAACAATGGCAGCCACACAGCAACTGCAATTGGAAACTATTGTGTCAGTATTTAGAGTGCTACTTGCAAGACCGCAGTGACTTACAATGCACCCAGCCAAAATATCAACAAGACACCAAATTTCTTGTGAGGGCGCATGTGCAGAGACCATAGTACCGGGATGGGGAGCAGCAGAACGGCCACATCCAAGGCAATGCTAGTTCCTGATTGTGCAAGCCCTAGAGCAACTGTATCGAATCGGAAATGACCTTCCCCAGTCCAGGACATGCTTATTGGGTCTCCCTCCAAAAGGACCAACTGTGTGAACATGTTAGTATTATCAACAGGGTGCCAGGGCGCGGTAGTGGGGTTCTTACGAAGAAGAACAAGACTCCCCAAGCGCTTACAACTGCGATAGAAATCCAGGAGACAATTTGAAATGTGCGTGTCACGAAGATTCTTTTGTAAAAGAGCAAGATGGAGATCTTGACTGCACATAAGCCTGCCTGGAGGATGGTGCTACAGATCAGGAGCAATTGCAATGACTTCACAACTCCTGTCGCAGGATCAATCTTGAAGGTTCCGATGCCAGTAATACTCCCAATTGTCCATGAGCATATACTTAGTCCCAGAGTAGGAACCTGCTGTCACATTAGCTCTTGAGTTAATTGACTAAAATTGATATCCATACCCAAGCTGCCATGATCCACCAGTCATCTGCCTGAATTCTCAGCCGAGCGGCCTTGCGTGCTTTAAGTCGCAATGTCACTGATAACAAAGATAGAAGAGGGAACACGATCGAGACGAGAATGAGGGGCACAGTTACGAGTGGACCAACTTGCGGCACCGAAGACTCATCCATTAGTACAATAAAGAGCTGATACTGCGAGTTATTGAAGGAGAAAATACGAAAGGTAGAGCGCGTAAGAGGGTTTGAATGGGGATACACTTAAGGACATCCGCGTTGGGGTGAACAGGGAGTCTTAGGCAGTACCAGATGATGAGATTCTCTAGGGCAGTTGCGTGCAAGCAACTTATTTAAACTTCTGGCAGCCTCGCTCGAAGGCACAGGCAATCAAAACCCGCATTTTACCCAAACAAGTGGGCCCCAAGGGTGCCTTGAAACATGCGGAAGAAGCGGATAAGCACAGCTTTACTGGTGGAACTATTTACTGCGCGTGTGATGTAGCACTGCCCCATTTCCAGGAGTCAGAGGAACAGGTATGGGTCAAACAAATTCTATCTATTATTGTTGTCTCCATTAGTGTCACTGATTTCACATATGTTTAGAAATGTGCGCAGTGGGGATCAAGTGATGCACGGGACCACAGAAGGCTGCAGTACCGGTACAAATTCCCCAGAAACTCTTCGCTGGCTTCACTTACAATTTTCTTTGACATCGGACGCATTTTGGGGCCCATATAACCTGTCAAACACTTCAAACTTCAAACACCCAACCGTGATATCAAGCTGCACCTTGAAATTCTCACACCTATCTACAATGGAGACTGTGATAGGAGATCACCAAATCGTTGTCCTAAGCGGCTTTGATAGTCAACTTATTATCGCTCTCATATTTATCCTACTCTTTGTTGCATGTCTGTATGAGAAATCCCGACGAAGGGATAACATCCCTACCGTGAACCGGTGGTTCACACTCGAACCTACAGTCTTCTCGCGTATTCGCTTTGCATTGAATTCGGGGCGGATAATGGAGATTGCATACCAGAAGGTAAGAAGGAAACATTTATTGTTGTTTCTGTAAGTGAATATCCAGAGCTGACTATGGTGACGGTCATCAGTATAAGGGACAGGCATATAGACTTGCACGAGGGGATGCAGATTATATTGTTCTTCCGGCTGAGTGTGTCACTGAACTTAACCGCCTCCCTCAACACATGTTGAACTCCCGCCAGTGCCACTCTTACTCGATGACTGGGCATTTGAATGGCATAAATATTGTGCTAAAGTCGAACCTGCATGTCCGTCTCCTATTGAACACAATAACGCCCGCTTTGCCCAGGTTCCTACAGCCAACCAGCGTGAGGATTGAAGAGGAAATGAAGAGAAGCTTCCCACAGGATAAGGACAGTTGGAAGAGTATAGATATGACTGATAGGATTGCGGTCTGCGTCGGGCGGGCATTTGCTCTTGCGGTCGTTGGAGCGCCCATGTGCGATAATGCCGAGTTCATCCGCCTGATGAACGAGTACACAAAAGACGGTTCGTTGAACAGCGCTTGATCCTCTACGGGGTAGCTAATTTGCTGATCGTCATGATGACATATCTATCAGTGTTCTATGTCATGTTTATCATGCGCCTCGTGCCTTCCATACTGCAGCCACTGGCCGTCTGGTTGCTTCCGTCAAAATGGCGTCTCCGAGCGGGTCGAAAGAGACTTGAAGCATTCATACGGCCAAATGCGAAGAAGCAGAGGGAGGAAGATAGCCGCTCTACGGTAATTTCTGAGCTGCCGAGCCTCTTTAAGTGTATTATAAATGAGGCCAGAAACGAATCTGAGCAAGATCCCGAGGTCGTCACAGGGTTGCTGATGGCACTGGCAGTTGGGGGGACCTACAGTGCCGCCAATTTCATCTATGCAGCTATACTGGACCTCACTGCTCATCCACACTACCTGGCAGAAATTCGCGAGGAATTGCACCTAAAGAATGCGGAGATCAGTGGTCGCTGGGACTTCGAAGCATTCAATTCTCTACACAAGCTTGATTCTGCATGCAAAGAGACACTGCGTCTGACACCTGGAAGCCTTACGACGTATAGCCGCGTCATGCAGGATGACTATACCCTTTCGAATGGGATTACGCTGCGAAAGGGTCAGTTCATCTGTGTGCATAGTAATGGTCGGGCCCGAGACAGTTCTGTGTACCCCGATGCTAATAAGTATGATGCACTACGTGCCTATAAACAGGACTTTCGGGCCCACACTACCTGTCCATTCAAAGGGGTGTACGGGCAGGACTTCCGGTGGGGTTCGGGCAGGTGGGCGTGTGCAGGTCGGTACCTCGCCTCAATGGTATGTAAGATTATGCTGGTCAAACTTCTGGACGAGTATGATTTCCAGTTTGAGGGAAGTGAAGGCCGGCCTGCAAACACGATTTTTCATGAATATGTGTTCATTCGCCCAGGGGTCAAGTTGATGATGCGGCGAAGGGAGGGTAGTCTGGGAATTCGCTGTGTTTAATCGGACATGTCCCAGAAACAGAAAGTGGTGTTAGACCTGGACACACTGCAACCCCGACTGTATACGTGTCTTTTGGCTTCGGTTGTGGTAGTCTGTCAGAAAGAGGAGCTGAGTGGTGGACTTTCATAGGATGCATGTCTCCGTATCTGTCAATTGTCATTTAGAACCAAAGCATTCTCTACTCTCATTATGATTCATATATGCATAATATTTAAACAAACCGAATATCGCCGTTGAAAGCAAACATCTCGTGGAAAGCGAAACTCTTATGTGTGCATTAATCGAATACGTATGGTATCGAACGACATGTTTCATTACAGTAACGGTGTCTTCTAAATGGGAAAACAGACCGCCCTTGTTATCGAACCGCTAATGGACGGACATGGATGGCCACCTACTCGCTAGTCTACGTAGCAGATCGACTGGGGTTTTGGTGGCGCTAGTAAGCACTAATAGTCAAAAGGCTTCCCCTCAAGCCCCTCAAAAACAAGAGTCTAGACTTGAAGCAAACAAAGAAATGACAACCACCAAGAGCCTTGTGGAGTCTCTCCATTCTACCAAACAACTGATCGGACACATAATGTCACGCCATGGATTGAGGCCAGACCAGGAACCCGAACGCTCCCACAAAATGTGACAAGGCCTGCATATAACGAGGGAACTCCCATGGATTCCCAGTCAAAATTGTATATTCTTGACTGCCTGCACATAGTACGTTGTGTGACATCTCTACCACCTTCAGCCATCGTTCCACCATCAAGTTGATATCATGACCAAGCCGATCACCGTTTGGTTGACCCGTAAGCTGTCCCTCAGTGCAGTAGCTCTGACTTGAGGCAGTCTATTTTGCGATTGCCTTTACTAGAACCGGTTTGCTAAATTTTTACATAGCCCCTGGACCGAACTCTTGGAAGGTTGGTGACACCGTTCGGCAGCATCCTATCACGCATTGACAATCTATTCCGCTCAGGTCATTACTATTCTGGAGGAACTCCAGGTTCCATACGTTATCCATTCTTTCAAGTTCGAAGACGTGAAAAAACCCCCCTTCATCGAAATCAACCCCAACGGTCGGGTCCCGGGTAAGATTCGCGTTTCTTTAGCTTACCCTGTGCCATGTGTTTGTTGCTTTTCCAAGACGATTGACCAAGTCGACTGACACGGGCAGCAATCGTCGACCCCAACACTAATCTGACGCTGTGGGAGTCTGGCGCGATCATTCAGTACCTGGAGGAATTGTACGACACTGACAAGAAGCTCACGTATGACTCGGTTAATGAGAAACATCTTCTCAACCAGTATCTCCACTTTCAGATGAGTGGACAGGGCCCGTACTTCGGACAGTGCGGATGGTTTGTTGCCCCTACCTATCCCCCCTAGATGATACCGTTATCCCGGCTGACCAAAGCTGATATGTCTCAATTTCCAGGTTCAATGTGCTACACCTTGAAAAAGTTCCGTCCGCCATTGATCGCTACGTCAAAGAGGTTCATCGTGTGTTGGGAGTGTTGAACACTGTCCTTGAAGGCAGGGAATGGCTTGTTGGAAACAAATGTACTTTTGCAGACCTAGCATTTCTCCCTTGGAACACTCGCCTTGGCATGGCCCTGCTTACCCCGTCGGGCGAAGACCCCTTGGCGCCGTATCCGAATGTGCAGGCGTGGCAGAAGCGCATGGAAAGCAGGCCTTCATGGCAAAAGGCCTTGGAGATTCGGTCGAAGCTGATGGATGAGCAGGGTCTGCAGCAAAGTGGCATGCCGAAGGGTATGAACACCGTGGAAGAGTACCAGCAGTACGTAGCCAAGGCCAGTGAGTAGAAGCAGTGCACATTTGTGCTCTAGCATGGCATCGTCGAAATTGGTGGCCAATCCTATCTTCTATTTTCTTAGCTAAAACCATAGTACTTAATTACCAATAAGAGCCAGTATCGAATATTAGAAGTAAATAAAACCCATCATACTGTCTCGCGGCTCAACTCCTGATAAAAGTCATTCTGAACATACATATATAGCAAGCCGAGATAGAGACAATGAGTACTATGTGGGGGGGCTTGATCAGGTACAGCACACTTTGGATCCGGGGGCTTACTGGATAGCCATCCATCCAACGGCAATAGATCCAGAAGATCTGGCCATTGAATTGGGGAAACATATTCACCACCACCACCACCAAGTAGGCAATCGCTCAGGGGCAGGCTGAGAGACGGAGGCTCTTCTCAGCCGTCGCACTATGCATGTACATGCTGTCTGTTGGCACCTCAGCCTGCTGAGGTGCCGTTTTACATTGCCCCCTTTGACGGGCGTGCTCGGTGTTCGGTACGTACCTGGCCAACACCGGACTGAACCAATAGTTGGATGCATATCTTCTGGTCCCGATATTCCCGTGGTTAAGTATGCGGGGTGCCGTTCAGGCGCTACGGGATATCGTGCCGTCCAATGAGGAAAACCGGGCTAAGCTAAGCACTAATGCAGGAAGCTCATACCAGTCACGTTTACTAGTGTATCTACGGGAAGCTACCTAAGGTTGTATGGAGGCGGTACGCATGGCTCAGGCAAGACGCTAAGACACGATAGATGGTCAAAACTATGGGGTCTATGACTCTATCGTTTGACATTTAGTTTTTTCGTGATAGAGATTTGCCCCTGGTTTGGGAAAATGATCGTCGGCTAGTACGAAGTGGCTGGCTGCGAGTATTGGCAAACAGCTTCCTTAGCGAACTAAGACAAGGAGGCTTGTACAATCTCGTGGAACCGCATAAAGCGCGTAAAAATTGTCTTGATGAAGATGACCAATGTCTGCTCCTTAGATGAGGGGGCTATGCTGTACTCTTCTATGAGCCTTTTTATTATGTTCTTTAATGCCTCTAGAAAGTAGCTGAGAGCTGAAGGTCCCAATGCGTGATTTTTGAATTGTACTATGTAAGGGCAGTGTTATCATTGACTGGCAAACAAACAGTGGCGCGTGTTACACATCCGCCAGTGGATAGACTGTCGAAGTCCGAGGGCCTGGTTCACCACACTCCACCAATTGCCAGAAGGTGAGCTAAGCGTGATTTACATTAGAAAGGACATGCCCGATCCTCCCGGTTCCGCACTTGAATGCTATCCCACGGCCAGGGGAAGAGAAACTCGTGAACCTCGTAGTTCTTCGGTCGACCCTTTCCTGGTAAAAACCTGAATTCGTACGCAGTCAAAAGCTTCACAAAGACCATTTTTATGACAAGGCTAGCAAAGTGTCGGCCCGGACAGGATGTTTTGCCGTATCCAAAATTCAAGACTGTCTTATCTACGGTTGAGAATTGATGACCTACTCGATTACTCCGAGAACCATCCATATTCTGAAACATGCGATAACTGCGGAGTCCATCAAAGCGCTCTGGGTTGACAGTATGGTCCGGGTCGTTTTCGATGGCCATAACAGGTAGGGCGACGTATGTTCCCTGATTGATTGAAATACCGGAAGAGAAGGTATACGGTTGCTTGAAAAGTCGCTTCAGACCAAGAATGGTCGGTGGAGAGAGACGTTGTGATTCGCGTAGCACGCTGTCAAGCTTGTGAAGTTTCGAGTAAGAATCAGCAGTATCAATCCAGCCTGTTGTGGCCCAGACACTGTGGATTTCTTCTCGCAACTCGTCGATGTATTGCGGGTTCTCTATGAGATCATATAGAACATTCACATTGCGAAGGAGGATGGTGTGAACAGATGCTAGGGCAAGAAGAATTTCAACATGAGCTAGGGTATCAGGATTGCGATCTGACCCCTTCGCAGCCTCCACCAGCCAGGTTAGAACATTAAAGTTGTCCTCAGTTGGCTTTGGAGAGAATGACCCCTTGTCGTTTTCCTCAATCATGTCACGTATTACCGGGCCAAGCAGATCTTTGGTCGACCTTAGGTAGGCCTGGCATCTCCAGAATGAGGGAAGGCATCGACTGAGAGCAGGATGCATCCAACTAGGAAACAATCTCAAGATGACGATAGTTTGGAAGACTAACATGACCTGGTCAGAACTATTTCTAGGTAGCCATTATAGTCCCTGTCGTGGATGAGGGTCCTCTACTCACGATTTTCGGTATAGTGCACAGAAATGTCTAACCATTGGGGATTGCGACAGAAGGTATGACCAAGCATGGCTCTAGCAGATAACCTGGCAGTAACCTTCCCAAGGACTCTAAATGGTTGGATTTCGGCCCAATCAGCACAGTCGGGGAATAGCTCGTCGAGGGATGCCACAAGCTCGCGTTGTAATGCTGGGGTAAGAGATGGCAAGCGAGGTGTCAGCTTTCGCTGGACGATCGTATGGTGCATTCTGCTCTCCAGAATGATATCAAGCCCAGTATAAGCGCCCAAAAGGTCATGCTCAAGGGCAGCATGGGGACTTGCTACAGATGGAGGCAATCCTGCCAGCTCCTCAAGCACGGATATGGGAAGAATAAGTGCACTGCCACTTCCACGTAAGAGCTGGAAAGTACCATTCTTGTACTGTATGTGCCGAAAATAAAGCGAAGTCAACATCTGTTTCACAATGGGTTGTGACGAGCCTGAATCTTACCTTGTGATACCCTTCTTTCACGAGCCATGATGCGTTCGCTGCAAATACCAAGTTCAGGAATATTCGAGGTGCCCAGCACGAGGAGCTGCCCACTACAGGGTGTTTACCGACCGCGCGTGTAAAGGTCCGCGTAACAGAAAGGTCCCAAAAGTAGTACAATAGAGCAAGAGGTAAGATGCCCCAATACATAATGGATAAGGTTTCCAGTGTAAGCATGCCGGACTGGTGTGTAGTGGAGTCTTGAAATTGCGGTTCGAAGGATCTCACACACTGGAAATATACCACATAACGGTGTGGCTTTTTTATAGCTATAAAGGTGGGCAAAGCATTTGCTGTCGGTGTCCGCCTAATTTTCAAATTCTGGCATAATAAGACAAGCGACCTCTATCGGGCGACTTCACACTAACGGGAGATCCCTGCGGTGGATGCGTGGATGCGAGGTGCCTTTTTCTTTTTTTTTTTTTTTCTGCCGATCAGCATCAGGGGAGGAATCAGGCTGCCCTGGCACCCATCCCTGCGCTCTTAGGCGATCTTCCCAGTGCTCTGGCCGGCCATTTAACTACTGTGTTGAGACCGCCGGATGATCTTTCCAGCTCGCCTTTGCACCTGTTTCCAACACCCTCTCTTTTCACTGTTTCAGTTACGAAGATTAACATGGATAACCCTCTAAATAGCAAGGAGTCTGTGCACTTGCGCACGGGAAAAGGCTCTTTCATAGACGGAAATCCCCAAATGAATGGCGGGATAGACCCTGACAACGAAGTGCAAGGCCCAAAGCTACTTCTTCTCCACATTGGTCTCTGCCTCTGCACCTTCCTAGTCGGCTTGGTAGGCTCCCATGCTTCTCATGTCGCATACCTTAGTCTAACTGCTGAGTGAACAGGATTTTAACCTCATTGCAACGGCAATCCCGGTCATCACATCCGATTTCCATTCAATTGGAGATGTGGGTTGGTATGGGAGCGCGTTCTTCATTGCACTGTATGTACCAGCCAGGGATCTGATAGATGGTCGGAAAAGCGAACACTTCACCTAACGCGCCTCTGTAGATGTTCCAGCCAGCCACTTGCCGGCAAGACTTTCAGTCTGTTTTCGAAAAAGATTGCCTACTTGAGTTATGTTGCTCTCTTTGAGGTCGGTAGCCTAATCTGCGCGCTCGCTCCATCATCACCAGTCCTCATTGTTGGAAGGGCTATTGCCGGCCTAGGAGCCTCTGGGATTTTCGCTGGAGGGTTGATTATCTTAACTACAGTGATCCCGCTGCATAAGCGGGCAGTGTGGACTGGAACACTGAATTCGACCTTTGCCATCGCAAGCATTGTCGGGCCCATTCTCGGAGGAGCACTCACCCAGCATGTTACCTGGCGATGGTGTTTTTACATCAATCTTCCCATCGCTGGATTCTCCGCTGCTGTGATAGTGTTATTTTTCCAGGTGAAACGGGCGCCCGCCGAGAGTATCCCCTTGGCGAGAAAGCTGCAGAGCTTGGACGGAGTGGGCTTCCTGCTCTTTGCTGGCTCTGTTAGCATGCTGCTAATCGCACTACAGTTTGGCGGGACAAGTCAGGAATACACATGGCACTCGGCAAATATAATCGGATTATTCGCAGGTGCTGGAGCAGTGATGTGCATATTTGTTGGATGGCAATGTCATATGCAGGAAGCAGCTTTGATTCCTCCCCGACTGTTCACCTCTAGCAGAAACGTCTCCCTTGTTTGTGCTTCTGCCTTCTTCGCAAATGGAGCGTTCCAATGTATCATATACTGGCTTCCAATCTGGTTCCAAGCTGTTCTTGGGGCTTCCCCAACCTCAAGTGGTGTCAGGTACTTGCCCACCGTCATATCGGATGTCCTTACCTCCTTAATCGCGGCGGGTCTGGTGAACAAACTGGGATGGTGGAACCCTTTTCTTATTTTTGGCACCGCAATGGTATCACTTGGTGGTGGGCTTTTGACGACTCTGCATCCTTCTATATCCGATGGTCATTGGATCGGATTCCAGATCTTAGGCGGTGTTGGATATTCTCTGATAGTGACTATGGTCAGGTCTTCCTTACATATTGTCCCTCATCATAGAAACTAACTCTTTTCACAGGCCCATCTGGGAGTTCAGGCATCCCTTCCACCTGATCTTGTTCCTTTGGGTGCGACAAGCCTCCTCTTCGTCATATCCGCAAGTTGTGCCATTTTCTTGGCTATCGGGGAAGCTGTCTTTCAAACCCAGCTAGAGAATGAACTCGCTCATGTCACTTCCTCTGCCCTTGCCAATGCAGTAATATCCGCCGGGGCCTCGGGATGGCGCTCTATTGTTTCTACTTCAGAGATCCCCGTGATTGTTTCTGCGTACAGCATTGCTGTGACGCGAGTCTTTGTACGTTTTTGGTCCAATACTATATTTGAGTATGCAAAAGCTGACCCTGCTTCTCTAGTATCTAACGGCAGCGGCACCAGTCCTATCATTCGCAATGGTTTGTTGTACGCGGTGGACGTCGACAAATGATTCGAGAAAGAAGAAGGAAGATAATTCTGGGGAGGAAAGCGGTTAGATGTAAATAGGTAGCTACTGGCACATACATAGCCTACACCTGGCATGATACTAGACTGGAAGCAATTTAGTGCTCTACGAGTATTCATTCACGATGCACACGGTCATAGGACCTATAAGAAGAGATAGGTGTGTTACTAGAACCATATAACGCCGAAGAACATACCCATAAACCCCAGACCGAGCTAAATGTGGACACTGGACAGCCATCCTTTACGTCCATGCATTCATGGGCATACCTTGAGGTTTCCGTGCGAGGTCAAATGTACCGTTATCTGTGACGCTTGCCGCGGATATTTCATAATAAACCATAATATATCAGTGCCCATCGTCGGCACATGGATGTTCCCTTGCCCCCAACTGACCCCCCTTTTCTTTATTCATTTGTTTATTTGACAGCCTATTGCCCTTGGGTTTTGGAGTTGGGGGGGCAATCAAACGCAAGTGTTGGCCGCATGTGCTGGCAGGACTTGATAGCCCTTTTCAGTACGATACGGTAAAGTACACCGAGGAACCGTTTGGTATGGTACTGCTCAAAGCAGGGTTGAGCCGTTATAGCGACAGAAAGTCTTCGGTAGTTCCCCGAGTGGCGTATAGCAAATAGCGCTACTATGCGCGAGCGAACCGCACTACTAGGAGTCACCATGACACAGAGCCTAATCATATCCATCTTGTGAGGCAAAAAGAGTACTAGGAGCGGCGTACCCTATGTTGGTTCACCTCCGAAGTACTTGAAGGCATGATCATCGCGCAGCCAAACATGCAATCCAGCGCCAGCACCGTGGCATATCTAAACAACTGGCGCAGTCAGAACTCGGTCGACTAACAACATTATTCCTCATTGCTGGCCGTGCCTCAAATACACCAAGTCGAGATGGAGAAAGGACCCAAGCTACAGCTCAACCTTGAGAGCTGCATTTCTCCTGAACAGATTGTGGATTACCTGTGTCAAGTCGTTAAGGATGATGATCTGGGCCTGTTAAGATACGGAAGCTTTACACCTAGTATTTACGACTCGGCCTGGCTTTCCATGGTCTATAAGCAAACGGATGACGGACTTCAGTGGCTCTTCCCGGAGTGTCTCAATTATATTCTGAACCTCCAGGATGGCAATGGGACATGGCCGGCCTATGTGACTCCAATTGATGGAATCCTAAACACTGCAGCGTCCCTGCTCGCGCTCCTAACCCGAAGGGAGCATGTGCCAGGCACAGACGAGGAGAATAACTTGTCTCTGCGGATTACCCGGGCCAAATATGGCCTGGAAGGCCTTCTAATTGCATGGGACGTGAATGCGACTGATCAGGTTGCATTCGAAGTTATCATCCCTAGCCTTCTTGTTCAGATCTCACGCTTTAATATCACCTTTGACTTCCCTGGCCAATGCCACCTACAGGAGTTGAATCGACTTAAGCGAAAAAGAATCTGCCCCGAGCTATTGTACGCCAAGAGACAAACAACTCTGCTTCATTCCTTGGAGGCGCTAGTTGGAGTCGTTGATTTCGATCGTGTGGCCCATCACTGCACGGCTGAGTCAGGCATCTTGAGCTCACCGGCGTCCACTGCAGCATATCTCATTCATACATCCTCATGGGATGCCCGCGGGGAGTTCTATCTTCAACGCGTGGTTAATGAGGCTGGAGACAAACATGGGGGTGTGCCTAGCGCGTATCCAACGGCTATCTTCGAAATTTCCTGGGTTAGTAACTTCCCGAAAGCATAATCACGACGCCTCAGTGCTAACCGCTACTCTTCGTAGGCAATCTCTACGTTATTTATGAGCGTCAATAGGTCAGGCCTGGGCACCAAGTCGAGCATGCAGAGGCTTACTCAACTGTTCAAATCTTTGTTGGCTGGTCAAGACGGGCTAGTCGGATTCACACCTGGAATCCTTCCGGATGCGGACGATACAGCGAGGGTTCTACTTATGTTAAACCCTGTTGGAGTTGGGGTTGATTGCGCGCCTATGGTGAAAAAGTTCCGGTTAGGATCTTGCTTCAAGACTTACGATTTCGAGCGTAACCCGAGCTTCAGTGCAAACTGCAATGTTTTGTTGGCATTGATCTTATCAAAAACTGCCAAAAGCTACGCCGCAGAGATTGGGGCTACGATGGACTACCTCCTTGATCTTTGGAGAACGGGCGACGTCTCTGACAAATGGAACGCCTCTCCCTACTACACGTTCATGCTACTATCATCTGCGTTTGTCGAGGCTCTCTGGCAATATGACTCTGGCGAATTGAGACATGTCGGTACACATGTGCTTGTGAGAGAGATAGCCATGTGTCTCTGCCAAATCCTCTCCCGAACATTGTCCCAGCAGAGCGCAAACGGCTCGTGGGATGATTCTCTAGAAGTAACATCGTATGGCGTTCTGACACTATCCCAGCTTGAGCGTCTTCCCTTTGGTCTGAGCTTAAGCAAGGATATCTTACAAAAGGCCATAAACCGAGGTCGTGAGTATATCAGGAGCCATCAACATGACATTGCGAAGCCACAACGTCACGACTATGTCTGGATTGAGAAGTCCTCCTATGCATCACATCTACTACGCAAGGTCTATTGCGTCGCAGCACTCAACGCGTCTGTCGAACCAATTGCGTACACTGTGGACCTCGCTCAACTTTTCCAACTGCCCAGCACAGCAGGTAAATTGAAATCTCTTCTCCAGGGAACGCCCCTCGTTGACAAGTCAACAATTGCCTCATTGGATCTGGCACTTATCGAGGCATCCCTTTGGTCTATGCATCTGAAAGAACGCAAGCATGAAGTTTTCCCTTCCCTTCAGGGGCAAACAGGTCAGGACTGGCATCTTGATTTGACCCCAGCTATCTTCACGGCGTGTAATGCAATTGGCGGTACACCACTATCGCCTGGTGTGCTATGGGATATGATCCTTCTTTCTACCCTCATTTATCAGACTGATGAATTAATGGAATCTGTTGTCTCACGTCTGCCGGCTGGCACTCTCGAAGTCTTGGAAAAACGACTCAAATTCGAATGCTACCCGCACACAGAACCAAAAATGGTCTGCGATATATCCAACAGCGCGAGATGCATGTTTCCCGAGGATCTAAGAAACAAGACACACATCATCGCCAATGGCGTCTCGGATCCCTACACTGCCGAGGTCCAAGCATCACTGGAATCATCCTCATTTTTGAATAGTATTGTCGACACCTTACGCAAGTTCATAAAGCATGTGCTTCGACACCCCAGGGTTCTCGCAACATCTACACTGATTCAGCTTGAGCTTGCAAATGAGCTCTTTAGCTTCCTCTCCGCTCACATACACCATGTCGCCGATAGCTGCAAACTCCAACAAAAGCAGTGTGTCTCCAACACCACCTACCACAAATGGGTCTCCTCCACTGCTGCAGACGACACAAGCTGCCCTATGGCCGCGTTATTCTTTCTGTGCCTGTCTGGGGAGGAAGGAGCAGTTTGCTTCGAGGATAGTCCGCAGTCAAGGTACGTCAGTCGAAGTGTGATCCGGCACTTGGCCACCATGTGCCGTCAGCAAAATGACTATGGATCGGCCATCCGCGACACGGACGAAGGAAACCTAAACAGTTTGAATTTTCCCGAATTCAGTCCGCCGGCCTCTATTTCAAGCGAGGATCCTGAGCCCGTCAGAAAATATCCCACCCAAGCTATGAAAGACCAGCTGCTTGTTATTGCAAAGGTTGAACGCGCCTATGTGCACCTCGGGCTGAGGTTGTTAGAGCAACTTGATACTGTCCCTGAACAGGTATTAGCAAGCTTCAAGGTTTTTATTAACGTCACGGATTTGTTTGGCCAGGTGTACTTGAGGAAGGACCTTTCCAACCGTGTCCAGCCTACTGTGTAGATACCCGAAATCATCGCCCGCCGTGAGCTCGAACTTTGAATCTGTTTCTTACTCACCAATCCTCTTTTTTTCACTGCAGTATCCTCATGCTCATTTCTTTATTGAGATGGTTTCGGTTTTGGAAGTTGGGGGCAGTTATATCATAGGGTCTTATTTCCACCAATTTCGACTAAGGGAGAACTATTGGTTTCGAACCGCCACATATGCTCATTTAAGAAAGAAACGATTAGGTTCTTTGTGCCGTTGGTTTTCATAGAATAACCGTGTACTCCATGTAAATCATCCTATAACAAACACAGGCCAACCGACTGCCATGGTTCTGACTATTTTTTTCATTGGAATTGTGTATCCAACCTTAGGAAACAAGATGACACGTCCGTTGTAGTCCGGCATATGCTTTACTGCTACGGCTTATGCATGGTAGATATTTAGATCTACTATAGTAATGGGTTATATGAGCGAGGTGGCTCGAGAGTTCTCTGGAGGATGAGAGGCGCGAAGCCTTTTTTGCCACATGTCATTGTACTTCATGACAGTCACAGAGTATTGATTGCAATGTTGTACCTAGAGCGCCGAGTGCCAAGTATTGATATGTCAGATGAATACCGCGGAGCGCAGTTTCTTCAGGTCACAAGTATGATAGATCAGCGTGCCAACCAACCCCCATCAACCACGATCGCCTCCCCACTAACATAATCACTAGCCTGACTAGCTAGAAGAATCGCGACCCCTTTCATATCCTCTGGCTTCCCCCACCTGCCCACAGGAATCCGTGGTATAATAGACTCACGATAGGCCGCATGTTGTGGCTCCGTCAGGGTATCAGCTGTCATATCGGTTTCGATGTACCTAATAATCCGAGTCAGTATTTCTGAAAGGGACTCCTGGCTGAGAATACATAGTCGATCACATACCCTGGAGCAATGGCATTCACATTGATCCCCTTCCCAGCCCATTCATTACTGAACGCACGGGTCAACTGCAGCAAGCCCCCCTTGCTTCCCGCGTACCCCGAAACGTTGATACCGCCCTGGAAGCTGCCCACGCTGGCCACATTGATAATTTTACCGCGCTTCCCCTGCGAAATCCAGTGGCGGGCAATATCGCGACAGAGAACGAATGGAGTTGTCAAGTTGGTTTGCATCACCGCTTCATAATGGAGTGTATCGTAGTCCACCGCCGGACTGCGGTGTTGAATTGCGGCGCAGTTGACGAGGATGTCGACTGATTGAGTGGCGACAACTTTGCTGATCAGTCCTTCAACTTGTTCGCGGTCGGCAAGATCACATTGCACCACCTCACAGCGCCTACCGAGCCGTTCTACGGCCGGTTGGGTGTCGGAGATGTTTGTAGAGCGCTGCACGAGGATTATGTCTGCGCCGTGCTCAGCGAGACCGAGGGTGATTGCTTGGCCGATTCCTCGGTTGCCGCCGGTGATTAGAGCAGTCTTGCCGGACAAGGAGAACAGGGACATCTTGTACTGTTGATTTTGGATGGGCACTGAACGTGTTGGACTCCTGGGGAGGGGAGGGAGATTATAACATGAATGTATTCTTATGTAAGTCTTCTGATTGTGTCACCTCAGATGTTAGAGGTCTCCACTACTAAGATATGTAACAGAAATATATTGTGACCGTAGCTCTTTAAATTGCCTTATCTGAGTACCAAAGCTCGGTTATGGGAAGGTGAGCGTTTGTGGATATATTGGGTGCCTTAAATGACACCCCACCATACGAGTACGAAGTACACTTCTTCATAGAAGGATAGCGTCTCTCAAGTACCGTGTTATGGCACGTCAGATCATTTTAACGGCAGTGTTACACCCTTTTTGCCACGGAATCGGATGTGACAGGCAACGTTTTGCAGATCCCTCCCTTTTCCTGTGAGATCAGTCTCGCCCCCGTAGCTCCTGCACTCTCCAGAGTTTACATAGGAAGGCGTCACTTGGAACAGGGCAGTCTAATCTAGTCGAGTTTTCGTCTATACTAGTAAGGCGAAGTAGGCCATGTATCGCGCAGAACTATCTCGCAGCGGTAGGGCAACACTTGACCTCGACTGAAATATATATCCATGCCGTGACAATGAACGATTGCTAAAACCCGTACTAACCTTGTGCTTCACACATTACGAGGCTTATGTACTTCGTAAATGTCAAGGTCTTGCAACAAGAATGGCTATAAACGGCGCCCTAAATCTTGATTCTCTCCTCTTGCATGTTTCGAGCAATCCAGAGTATTTACGGTGTTGAAACTAACTTGTGTCATAAGTGTCGCAGAGCCTGTCTACTGTCTAGGTCAAATGGAAAGCGTTCACATAGTTCCGAACTAATCTAATTATGTGCGACATGACGGTTCCAAATCTCAGAGATCATCAGGTATATGCAAGAGGGACCTCCAATATAGCTGGATATATCATACTTGGTTGTTATGGATGCATTTCACTAAACTGAGCTCTTGCTGGTCCAGACACGCTTACAGTGCGTCCTGCAGGCGGGCAGTCTCCTTGATAGAGAAACATATTATATTGTGAAAATGCAAAGGATTATGTATGATTACTAAGAGATGCTGCGTCCATACAAGAGAATTTGAAAATTAATGGTACAAATACAATGAGCCACAGCATCCCTTACGATTCTTTGCAAACAGTTCCTCCATTTACTATGATAGAGCTCCATCGTGACTTCCTTCAAGGCCAGAGAAATGTCAAAGAGTGCTGGTGTTGCTGACATTTAGATATTGTGGCACTGGTCGACATATGACTTGAAGTGTTCCGGAAAGTCATCCTTCCACAGCTGATCGCTGTTCAAGTATTCATCGACTTTCTGGCACCTGTCATTTGTGATGTAGGGAAGCAATGGGGGCACCCCTTTGAGAACAGCGGTTTTTGCGTTGCTGTTGACGCAATCCAAGAATGGCTGTACCTTGTCTTCATCGTCGCAGAGGTTCAGACCATCGGACTCTTTCTGGCACTTCGAGACGACCGTGTTATATAGGTCATCAATGGACTTAACAAATGCCTTCTGTGCCGGCTCATCATTGATGCCAGTGTATTGGATACCGTCTTCCAACAGTTCGTTGAGGATCTCGTCCTTCACATCGCTGTTCCACTGGTCGATGTTGGGTGCGCAACCTGCCGGACAGGCGTTCAGCTGAACATTTTGGATAAAGTGGCCGGGTATTTTGCTAATGGAGTCGAGGGCATCAAAGCACGAGGTTACCAGGGCGAGGGTGGGAGAAACACTGAGGCAAGCAACAGTTGCGATATTCACGGCGCTGTTGAACTTCATGGTGACCTCTGGTTAAGGATGGTCGCTGGACTTCTGATGGTAATGTGGTTTTCTCGAGCTTGGAAGACGTATTGCACGCTGGCACCGAGAGGATCCCAGTTGCTTTAAAGAACATCTAGGACGAGCAACATTCCTTCTATCATTCCCTGCAACACAAGGACAAAGGATGATTATCTTGGTGGTCCTTTCAGTCTTCTAAAGGAGGACATTCCAGTTCTGGATGATGGGTATCTCAACATGTTTATAAGCAGATCAACCAATTATTATGGTTGTGGAGTCTAGGGTCGAGCGGATTGGTGTAGAGGACATTCAAGTCTCAGACAGCGAATGTGTCAAAGTTTATTAGTCTAAACCGACAATTTAGGCAAGGAACCAAGCCTAATTGTGATGCTCTGCTCGAGTCACTAGCAGAGTACTCTCTCCTGCGGTATGACACGGTCTTTTGTCCGTTTCGTCAGGGAGAGTTCGCGCTTACTCCTTTCCCCTTGAGAATGTAGATCATTGCCATAATAGTCCCACATAAACATACGCTTGTTTTCGCATTGCTTTGACCTTGGTTCTGCAATTGGGTATTTGTTGTTGTCCGTTTTCCATTTGGTGCACCATTCTTGATCTGATGGAATAATCGATCTCATAGTCTTTGCACTGCTGCATTGCCTTCGGTCTTCACCGCTTTAAGCTCCTTAGTTGACTTTCTGTTCGGTCAGATTAAAGGGAAACGACAGGTCACACAATGCTCTACTTATGATTCTCTAACGCCGGAGTTAAACAGTATGAAGAGAAACTTTTGGCTGCAAGGGGGCGCGTAGATCTACGCGCATAGTATGGGTTTTCATGCAAGGGATGGTACAGTAATGTACAATGTCCTTGTTTCCGACCTCTAGTTTGTTCCTGAAGCTTAAAGTTTTCTTGCTAAGAAGCAAAGAGAGTACGAGACAGCTTTTATCCTCCGCATTGGCTAATAAACATACAGATCAGTGCCAGTGGCGGAAAATGGGGAGCTGAAGTGCTGTTTTGGCCACTTCTTGTCTCAGTGTCGGTTTGAACACATCATACCGACCGTTCTATATGGACCTGTGAATAGCCCAAGAAGAACTGAGTAGGACTGAGGACGAGGCTAGCTCTTACGCCATGTCGGGGTTTGCTGGCATTCCAAATACGCATGTGCGATCGCCCGTCTTGCCGTCCTCTCTGCCATTGACTGCATTATCGCCGATTTTACTCGTGTGACAATGCACACAGGACAAGATTGGGACGCCGAGTGTGGAACACGGAACATAGCAACACACAGTTGTCTTGTCATTGGTTGATGGATAGACAATGCAAATATACTCATTATCTCAATTGTTGAAGGCAGGTCGTGCCATGGGCAGCACGCGGCCATTGAATGGGGGGCAGAGGTGCGGAAATAACAACCTGAGACAACTAATTGGGGAAGAAGAAAGGGAGAGGGAAGCAAAAAAAGAGAAAGAAAGAAAGCATCAAGGTCTAGACCAAACAATGATGTAGCATTGTTACAATTAAGATCGTTTCTGAACTCTGCTGACCGCTACTTGAGCGCGATGAAAGATCTTGGGTTCGACAATCCCGCAGACGTACGTGATTTTTAATGTTGTTCTTGTCGCTTAGTAGTACGGATTGTAAGTGGTTGCACTTAATATGAACGGTGCAACCCACACTTAGAAATAGGTACCGTTCAAACATTCTTGGGTGG